GATTTTATAAAATGAGTTTGTAAATGATATGTTAATATAAGAGTGTTTCTGGATGTTTTATGGTAAAATTGACTTGTCTAGAGGTAAATGAGATATTAGAAGCATTGGATAGGATTAAAAACACATTAGAAGAAGTGGTGTGATTCTTAGAACTTAATGTTCTTGATAGATGTGGGATGTTTTATGAAACTATATGAAGGGAAATTTGTATGGATAAGTAGAGAATAGTTAAATGTCATTGTGGGGGTGTAAATATAAAGGAATTTGGCCCCATTTAGCTAATAATCCAGTTAAAAACTGGAAAATCTGGGCAAGGGTATCGGTACTGATAGAACAGTAACGATACTATAGGTAAAAAGGGGACAAATTTGTTGTATAGTATCGATACTGATTCAATCAGTATCGATACCAATTGAGGAAATATCGATACCATTGTAAGGGTATCGATACCAAGAAAACATCGAATCTAATTTTGGTATTGATACCGTTAGGGGGTATCGATACCATTGTAAGGGTATCGATACCAAGAAAACATTGAATCTAATTTTGGTATTGATACCATTAGGGGGTATCGATACCATTGTAAGGGTATCGATACCAATAAAACATCGAATCTAATTTTGGGATCGATATCGTAGGGGGTATTGATAATATAGCATAGTAGTATAGATACCATGGTAAGGGTATCGATACCAGGCAACATCGAAGCTAATTTCGGTATCGATACCGGAAGGGGTGTCGATACCATAGTATAGAAGTATCGATTGGAATATCAAAGCAAGGCAATCATGGTGAGTACTTTATCATAAGTATGAGAGATGAGGAATATTCAATTTAGATTGTTTAAATTATATATATGTTTTATAATATTGATTATGATATTTTATAAGTATGAAAAGAATATTATGAATAAGTTTTAGAGTATGAACTGCTCTAAATCAAATTCATAATTGAAAATGCATGAAATGATGCATTAAGGTATGAAAGGATGCATTAAGGCATGAACGGATGCCATAATTGAAAATGCATGAAAGGATTCATTAAGGCATTAATTGATGTCATATATATTAAAATGCATAAATGGATGTGTTAATACGTGAAATTAGACATAATTAAGTTTAATGAGCTAAAGAGAAGTATGTTGGACATACTAAAGATTATATTAAAGATAATATGATCAAGGTTTGGACATAATACGAATGACTTAACAAATTCCCATAGATGATATAATTTGTTTTGAAGTTAAATGACTATGAGATACTTATATATTCTTTAAAGTTATTTACTATATTATATCTCACTAAGCAAATGCTTAATGTGTGTTGTTTCTCACGCGTAGGATAAAGAAACGATTAGCTGAGTAAGGAGTGTTTTTGTAGTTGTGGTGATCATCAACTAAGGTGGACTAATCCGTGACATCAGACAATTTAATATATTTTGGATATTTTGTTGGCATGTTATCACAATATTTACATGCTTTTAATTTCTAACAAGTAGAATGTATAACAAGTCGAAAGCAATGTTTTGTATTATATTAAAATGTTATGTTTTAAAAAAAAACTTAAATGTGACATTCATATCTCATGTACGGTAGGATATATGGGGAATGGGTTTTACAACTTCCTTGAAGAACTCGTTCATCTATGTATCTCTGGCCTTGACATCATTAAGGAACGTCTGCATGTAACCCTCCAAGCGTTCTAGACGCTCCCATGTCTACTGAGTGTTGGTCACCACAGCCGCCATTCTCTCTGCGGCTACAGATTTGGGACCTTGGTCTAATCCTTCAATCGGAGCATTATCATCAAAATGCATTAGCTCAACCACCTTCTTCTTGGTGATGCCCTCCTTTGATTTGATAAACTCCTCCAAGGGTCCCTCAGGGACCTTTATCTTCTTGCATAAAGTGGTTATTAAACAGGGGGAAAATAAGTTACATCTTGCCCGCTTTGCACATTTATGGGCCTGCTCGAAGATAATTTAGCCCACATTGATTGAGCACCCATAGATATTGGAATACAGCAACATCAATCAGCGTAGTAGCACTATGGTGTTCTATGAGGTGGCCATCAGTTTTTCCTTTAAGAAGTGGTTCCACAGTTTTGTGACTGGTTTAAAAGCACGGTGATCCACACGCTTTTGATTGAGGGAATTCCCTTAAAAATTTGCCCAGCCAAAACACAAGTCGTCCAACACACAATCTTATGTCTAAGAATTTGCCTCGGTAAGAAATTTCTTTTGTTGATTTTTGACTTTGCTGAGCTTAAAATATCGGTTGATGAAGGAGGGAGTAAAACGAATGAATTTCCCTCGCACATGGACAGAGTGCTAGGACGGGTCTCCTAGATGTGCATAAAACTCCCATACAAGTGACGATGCCACCGTCATTAGATGTCTGGGTGAATTTTTCCCAGATGTGTTTCCAGACAATGTCCATCACCTCTGGGCCAAACGGTTCCTCGTCAGTTGCAGGGAAGACAAAATTATTCTCTATGTAGACTTGGCGTTTTTGCAGTGCCTTAAATCGTGTCTCAGCCTCAGCACTTTGGAAGCGCTGGAAACATATAGTCGCAACAGATGAAGTAGAAGCACCAAGATTTGACTTAGAGCGAGCCATAGTTTCTTGATAATAGATTTTGTGGAGATAGAAAAGATTTTGGACGACAGTTATGGAGGGTTTTGGTGAACTGGGAAGAAAAAAAACGATGAAGATGAAAAGTGAGTGAAAGAGGACGGTAAGAGAGAGTGTAAAATAGGCAGTTTTGGAGAAAGTGGGCGGTTTCTTGGTGGTAAATAGGTAAAAACCAAAACAAAAAGATATATTGTTATTAATGAAAAAGTTTTTTATAGATTAAAAAGGAATAAAATAATGAAAGAAATAAATTTCACTCTCAAAAGTGATGCCAAATAATTTATTAGGGTTTGCTTCCTTCCATGCATGAGATTCAACCCTAGATTGCCACATGACACAAGATCACCAATAGAGACAAAATTAGAAATTAAAATTGAAATAAACAACTCTTTCAAAATAAAATAAGGAAAAATATTTATGTACAGAGTGCAAATTATGTTGTCTGGCAACAAAATTTGTTCAGGAAATAGGAGCAAACTCTTAGACGTCGTGGAGTAGCGACACCGCTTTAAATCGCAGGATTGGTTCTCCGTTCTACACCTTCAGCATTTGACCATTCACCTTAAAATTAGTCCTATCATCCAAATTTGTGATTTTGATTGCGTCGTAGCTATTCATGTGGTGTACTATCAACGGTCCTGACTATCTGGACTTCAGCTTGTGTCTTGAATTATAGAGCCATACTTTTTCTCCTGAAAAAATTGCCTTGGAATTTTTTTTGTCATGTCATCTTTTTGTCTTTTCTTTGTAAAAGTGGGAATTTCCATATACCTGAGCTCTAAATTTGTTCATCTCGTTTAATTTCAACAATCTTCTTTCTCTAGCAAGTTGCACATCCATATTAAGTTTCTTGATGGCCCAGTACGCCTTGTGTTCTAGTTACACAGGCAAATGACATGCCTTGTCATAGACTAACTTGAATAGAGACATCCCATGTGGCATTTTAAATGTCGTGCGATATGCCCACAGTGCCTCATCCAACTTTGGTGATTAATCTTTCTATTTAGGGTTAACCACCTTCTCAAGGATCTACTTATTCTCACGATTTGAAACCTCAACTTGCCCATTGGTGTGGGGATGATATGTCGTGGCAATTTTATGGCACACCCCATATATTTGTAGTTCCTTGCCAATTAATTTGTTATTGAAGTGAGTGCCTTCATCACTAATAATTGCTCATGGTGCTCCAAAATGTGTGAATAAATTTTTGTGCAAGAACTTCAGCATGGTCTTGGTGTCATTGCGAGGTGTTGCCACAGCTTCCACCCATTTAGACGCATATTTCATATCCAAAATGAGGTACAAATTGCCAAAAAAGATGTTGGGAAGGGTCCCATAAAATCATACCCCCATACATCGAAGAGTTATACCTCCAAAATATTTTGCCATGGCATCTCATTTCTCTTTGATATATTCTCAGTGCGTTGGCAATGATCATATGACTTATAAAAGTCGTGCACATCCTTATATAAGGTGGGTCAGTTGAAGTAGGATTGGAGGACCTTTACAACAGTCTTCATCCCACCAATATACCCTCTACATCGGGATTGTTGGCAATGAAATAGGATCTCGTTATGTACTTCTTCGGGGATGCATTTCTAGATTATCTGGTCTCTATATTGTTTGAATAGAACAATTCATCCCATTAATAATGGCATACATATTTTTGTTCTCTAGCCTAGATAAGTGATCTGCTACATTAAGGGTATGGCTAGCATAGTAAATGACATGGATGATTTTACCTTTTCTTTGCCCTAGTATTTCCCCTACTGCATAGTCATTGGTGTCATACATCAGCTCGAAAGGGGCATCCTAGTTAGGTGGAACAACAATTGTTGCCGAAGAAAGTTTTTTCTTCAAATCAGTGAATGTATTGAAGCATTCATCATTGGATATGAGTGGTTGATTTTGTTGAAGCAGAAGAAACAAAAACTTTGAAATCTTTGAAAAGTCCTTGATGAAACATCTATAGAATCCTGCATGCCCTAGAAAACTCCTAATACCATTCATAGTGGTAGGTGGAGGCAGATTCTCAATTACTTCTACCTTGTCTTTGACAACCTCGATGCCTTGGCAAGAAATTTTGTGTCCCAACACAATTTCTTCTGTCACCATAAAGTGATATTTCTCTCAGTTTAACACAAGATTGGACTCCTCACCTCACTTTAGCACTTTCATAAGTCGAGGTATTCATCAAAGTCATTACCCGAGATGGAAAATTATCTATAAATGTTTCCAAGAATTCCTCTACCATGTTTGAAAAAATGGCCACTATACATATCTGAAAAGTTGTCGGGGCGTTACATAGTCCGAACGGTATTCTCTGAAAGGCGTAGGTGCTCTATGGGCAGGTAAAGGTAGTCTTCTCCTAATCTTCAGGTGCTATGGAAATCTGATTATACCTAGAATATCCGTAAAGGAAACAGTAAAATGTCTTGCCTTCTAACCGATCAAGTATATGATCAATGAAAGGAATGGAGAAGTGGTCTTTCTTTGTCTCCTTGTTGAGCTTGCGATAATCCATACAAATCCTCCCGCCTGCGATGGTTTTTGTAATCAAAAGCTCATCATTTTCATTCTTTACAACGGTTATGCCACTTTTATTCAACACGCATTGAACCGGACTATCCCAAGAGCTATCAGATATGGGATAAATCACCCCAGCATCAAGCCATTTTATGATTTCCTTCATTACCACTTTTTTATTATAGGATTAGTTATCCTTTGGGATTCCACATAATTTTTATGACACTCGTATATGGGATTAAGTATCTTGTGCATGCATATGGTAGGGTTGATTCCCTTCAAGTCTGTCATAGTCCACCCGAGAGCTTTTTTGTGTTGTGACAAAACATTCAACAAGGTACCCTCTTGCTCGGGGGTTAGACTAGCAGATATTATAACTGGTAAAGTATTCACTCCCTAGATAAATGTATTTCAAATGTGATGGAAAAGGTTTAAGTTCTACGGTAGGCGCATGCTATAATGAAGGTTTTGGAGGAATAAATTCATTGAAATGAAGGGGTTCGAATCTCATACCTAGTCTAGCTTGAAGTAAACTAAATTTTTCCACCTCTAGTGAATAATCCTCATACTCTTCATTTGTTTTATCTTCAGTAAATCCCACATTTACTTCACTCTGACAAATTTTGCCTACTAAAAAAATTTGATTGGGCCAAAATTATTGTTTCCCTCTAGCTGTAAAATATCATCATGAAAAAAATTCTTACACTCCTTAATTTGCACAATTTATCTTTGCGCATAGTATCATATTCGTATATATGTAAAATTTGGCCTTGAACAAAATTTTATGTCTAGTCTTCTTCATGGAACTCCATGTCTCCAATTCAATGGTAGTCCTCATATTCATTGACATATTTAAGAGTGTTGAAGACATTGATAGTGACGATTTGATCAGCCACTCTGATCGTAAACTCTCCCTTCTTTCAATCTATTAAGATGTGCCTAGTGGCTAAAAAGGGACGCCCAAGATAATTGGTGTATTTTCATCGGTCTCACAGTCTAAAATAAAAAAATTTGCTGGAAAGATAAACTTGTCCACTTTAACTATCACATCTTCAATTTTTCCCTCGAGATGAACATGTGATCGGTCCGCCAGTTACAAAATCACGGTGGTTGGTCGAGTATTACCCATCCCAAGTTTCAAAAAGATGGACTTGAGCATCAGGTTTACGCTTGACCCCAAGTCAAAAAGGGCTCTCCTAACATACTTATCACTGATGGAGCATGGTATAACAAAACTTCCAGGATCTTTTTGCTTCGACGGAAGTTTACTCAATGTCCAACAATATTCTATTGTTGTGGCAACATTGTCTATTCTTTCCACCTTTCTCTTCTTTGTGATAATATCCTTCAAGAACCTGGCGTAAGAAGCCATCTGATCAATAGATTTGAGTAGTGGGACATTGATTTACAACTTATCCAGGACATCAACAAAGCTTTTGAACTGGATCTCATCATTATGCATCTTCAATCGCTGAGGGAAAGGCAGTGGGGGTCTGATTTCATCTGTTGTAGATAGGGGTAAAACTTTTGCATTGGCGATAAATTCTTCACCATCATTAGGTTGACTTGTTGACGTTTTGTCCATTTCCTTCTCCTCAAACAAGTCTTCTTGTTCAGCATGTTCAGCTTCACCTTCTGGTTTTCCCTATGAAGGGCCTTGGCGTGAAATTTCTTACTTCTTTCCTCCAAACTTATCATTGAGATTAATTTGGGCCCCACTCCTAAGTGTAAGTGCACTGCATTGTTCCTTTCCATGAGGCTTAGTGACCTCAGTATCACTAGGGAGACTTCCTTACGAGTGAGAATGTATTGTCATGGCAATTTAGCCACTTCATTCTCTAACGCTCTCAATGATGAACTACGGCTTTGTAATAGTATTGCTTGGCTTTATAACAACGCTCATTTATTCTTGATTGTCGATGAGTTCTCATGTATCAAGGTCTTTGTTGAAGCCATGAAATCTTTTTTCGTGGCCATAAATTCTTGCACTGAAGCTTCAAGGGAGTAAGAATTTGATGAATATGCATTACCTTTATTGTTACTTTGTTAGGGCATCTGTTTATGCTGCAAACTTGAATGTTCAAAGGCATTTTGTTGTGGCCTATTAAAGTTTCTTGTATAGTTTTTGTTGTTCCCTTGATTACCCCAAGAAAAATTTGGATGTTGTCGCCATCCAGGATTGTATGTGTTAGAGTAAGGGTTGTTTTTGCTTCTATTAAAATTGTCCAAGAAATTGATGGACTTCTGGTTTTCTGGCCATTCACTTTCATAATGGTTGCCACAAAAAAGAATGCATGTTGAGTTACTTGCCTTGACTTCTTTCAATTCACTAGAATGCTGCAAATTTTTTAGCATGTTAGTTATGGTAGAAAGTTGGGAAGAAACCGAATCATTACCGTCCAGTTCATAAGCCCCATATATTTTCCTACCGGCTCCAAACCTTATACACGGGAATTGATAGTCATTGTTGGCTATTCGATCGAGGATATAAAAGGCCACCTCAGGTGATTTGTCAAGCAAAGTTCCATTTTCTGAAGCATCCAACAACATGTGAGTAGGTGCATTTACACCCTTATAGAACCTGATGACTTGAGTCTAGTCGTGGAATCCATAGTTGGTGCATTTAAGAAGCAAACTTTTATATTTGTCCAACACTCATACATAGATTCGTCATCTCCTTGGTGAAAACTTGCAATGTAATTATGGAGTTGGGTGTGCATATTGGGCAGGTTGCATCAAAGAAAAAAAATTTACATAAGTCAACCCAAGATTTCATTGAGCCAGATGGGGCTCCACTCAACCAAGCTCTTGTTCGGTTGTGTAAAGAGTAGGGGAATAATTTTACTTGTTTCCTAAATGAGTCACACACTTCAAGGAAATCACGTACATGTTGTCTAGCATCTTCATTAGGCAAGCCACCATACTGACTGATAGAATTGAGCATGGTGAACATCACCGGTTTGAGTTCGAAGTGAGCTGTATGTATTTTTGATGCCATGATTTCAGGGTTGAGATCATCAAGAACATGATTTAAGTGATCTCATATAGCTCGTGGTCTTGTAGCATTTTAGGGAATATTATTTACTGCGACATCGGGATCTACCTTACATTTTATCGGGTTATTAGCTTGAAACTACAGTTGATTCATATAATCTCTGGCACGCTGAGTATGTCGCCTTTATCTGAATAGCTGCTCGATCTTAGGGTTGAATGGTATTAATGGTTTGTCAACCGATCTCCTGGCCATGCAATGACAAAAATCTACAAAAGAAAATAAACAAATAAACAAATAAAATAGAATAAAGAAAGAAAATGCGACAAGAAAATAAAAGTTGTTATGGCAAAAATTATCAAAATTCCTCTAATTTTGAATCCCCGGCAACGACGCTAAAAACTTGATTGCTTGTAAATATGTGGGCTATGGGAAGCAAATTTGTCCAAGAGTAGACAATTGATGCAAGTAATATAGTAGTAAGTGAGTTATTGTCTCCACATGGATTGGTGGGAATTTTTGATGTTTTCTACAGCTTGAACTAAGTGTCACTAATTAGTCCAAAGATTCTTGTCTAAAAAGATTAGTAACAAAGGATATGAACAGATGGAAAAATATTGTCAATGTGGAAAATTTATGAATTGAAGTGAGTCGAAAAGATTGGTTGAGGCAAATAAAATATGGAAAGGGAAAAAATAAAAGTGGTCAAGACAATAAAAATAAATGTTCGAGTGTAATATATTCAGAAAAACCTCACACAATCAGACTTCTAACGGAGCACTTTAGTTGGACTTGCTAATTCAGAATGCTATGCATGTGCTGCCCGACAGGATTTACTGGAGTGTTTTAGGTATTTTGCTATGACAATACTACTCGGCGTGAACTACAACCCTTGGTTCGTCAAACTATTATTGCGGCAATACCCCTCAGCGTAAATTGTAGCCTTTGGCCTATCTTACTCAAGTATTTACCCTTTTTAGTCGAACAAAACCCTTTCTTTATCTTTAAGGTGGATTAGAACCTCACCATCCTAGATTTGTTCCCTTGTCCACGTAGACCTACCCTAACTCTCTCTATATTAGGCATCTATTCCTAGAAAAATGGTAATCTCTCCAAAGCACTTACAAATACTAAGAATGTTTAGTCATGGCACATACAATCTCTCAAAAGCTCTTACAGCATCAAGGAAAAATATTGAAACAATGAACAAAACAACACTTAGCATAAAAAATCGCATCATTTATTAACAATTGAATAAAGTATCATTCAAGCATCATCCAACACCAAATAAAATAGTTATGGTGTTGTAAATATCATCAAAAAATCAATCTTTAATTACATCCCTTAAAATGATATGGATATGGATATGAAAATAAAGAAAAAAAACTCCAAAAATCAGAGCTCTACCGTGACATTCTAACAACCACCATGCCTGCTCCAACGATAAGCCTCTCTTGAGAACCTCGCTGCCACTCCAAGGAAGCCTAGATATGGCGGGCACCAAGGACGGTTGAGTGGGGAATAGTGTAAAAATGAAGTGTTGCAGTCGGCTTCTCCAAGCCTTGGGTATATTCTTTTCTCTTCTTTTCGATTCCCCTTATTAAGAGTTATAATGGGGTATTTATAGCGGGAATTTCTAGGATTTAGTGCTCCATACCCATTTTATGAATGATATAGCATCTTGAACTGGTCTCAATTAACTTAATGAGGGCATGATTGCACGTGAGGTTGAGGCTGGGCAAGTGACATCAGCAGTTTCGTTGAGTTACATCAGACTTGCAAGATATCTCTCGCCTAGGCAAGAAAATATGTTCCTCACTATCGTCTTCTTATGTTCCACTAGCCCTACCAAATTGATTTGTCTTGGCAAATGAATTTTTCCTTAATCATTTCTCACATCAACACAACCAGCAAACAACCTTCTTCCTCAGCATCATCAGTTAAGCCAAATAAAGTTTGCCTTGGAAAACTTATCCACCACATGCAAATATATCCTAAATGAAACCATATGCAACTAAAATGTTGTGACAAATGGCTTTTAGACAAAAAATAACCTAAGTAAAAAATACAAAGAACACATTCTTTTACGGTGTTATCACATATTTATGTCATACCAATTTGGATACAGAGGTTGCCAAGGTTTCACATAATGTAAGATTACTTCTCGAGCTTCT